AAAAAAAAAAAAAAAAATACATATAGAAAGACGTATTCGACCGCGATGGGTTATTATTATTACTCTTTTCCTATTTCTATGGACGGTTACATGTCCGAGGACGAAATGAAAAAACCTTTGTTCGACAACTCAAACATGCGTAACTAACCGTCGAGTACAGTGCAGGGGCGATTTGTACGACGAAAAAAGACACGGCTGTACACACTCGTTTACGATGCGTATTGATCTCGAGTCCGAGGGGCGGCGCGACGCGACCGCGCTTGCCAGCAGACACTTATGGGACTCATCGGTACACCGCGGTTATGCACGCACAACACATCTGGGGGCATTGAAATATTATGACATGTAATAAATATATATTTTTTATTTTATCACTGCCTTCGCTTTTCCAAGTGCTAGTCGAATTAAAACGCATTTATGCTCGCGCAGAGATCCGCACGCGGCACCAATGGAAAATAAAAACGGCACGTTAAACCGAAAAATAATGATTTAATAGTTCTCTCGCAAAGCGAGTGCAAAATAGAACTATACACACCATTTGTTGTTATGAACGAACCGATAAGACTTATTTATTTTTATAAACCGTATGTTTTCGTGAAGAAATATATATACACATGTATTTTTAGTAAATGTATATACATATATATATATAAACATTTAGTTCATAAGGTTCGGATTGAATGAAAACCGTGTCAAGGTGAGAGTGGCGGCAGTGTCGACGGTAGCAGAAGCGGTGTTGGAGAGGAAGCGTTGTCCGTATTACGACGAGGTCATGCGAACCGCCGATACGGTGGCGGATAGAACAGACGGCGGCGGCGGCGGTATGATACTGATGCGGCGGCGGGAGAGGGGAAGTGTAGTAAAAGTCGACGGTTTGTTTTCATTCTCTTCCGCGGTTTCTCATCTCTCCTTCAGTTTCCGGAAACACGGACTTTCCCCACTATCGACACCACGCCGATTCTCTTTTCCGCTTACTCTCCCTCTCGCCCTACAACCGACTCCGAAACGTTTTCGGAGTCAACGAAACGACCGACCACGTGCGTTTTTTCTTTGCTCATGTCGACACACACCGGACGATAACGACAAAAACACTCATTTTGGGCGGATAACCATCACACGCCGTTGCCGAACAGGTACGCTAAAATAAAAGCGCACTGCTTTTAACGGGATCAATCGGCCCCGGGTGCCAAATACAAGTTCTTATCTTTGTGTTGCTGGAGCTGCCAAAGGTCTAAATCGTCGCACTGCCAAACGACGTGGCCCTCGCGCGCCCAGTACCTCCCCGCAACCAACATCCCTCAATCCTGGCCAATTTTCAATAATAATCCTTGCCAGCGTTTTCTGGCCAAATTCGGAGAGTCCGTCACTAACCCCCTCCCGGCGTCAGAGCCAGGCCCGCGTTGGATTTTAAACGGAAACCTCGGATATTCGGGCCAACACCCGATGCCAAATATTCACAAAGTATGTCTGGAATAAGAGCCAAAAATCTTTAAATATAAACGACCTAAGTTTGCTTTTGATCGGACTTTTACGTACAACACAAAACCCTATAATACACACCACGCGAGCAAGTACTTGCTTTTATCTCGTTTACTACTGCGGGGCCCCGTACATGAGATACACGTCAGATAAAACCTAAGTTATAACATACGGTTATTAGTTTTCATACAAATCACATTTTATGCACGTCCCATTATATATTAATGTAGTAGTATTTATACTGCCTACAAGACTTTAAAAGCCTCGGATAATTATAATTTATGTATTTTTACATTAAATTAACGGTTAGATATGTAACAGCGAGAGGGCGTAGTTTTTTATGTCCCGCTCGTTTGAAAAATTTACTACAATGTTTTACAGCCGACGGCTTCTACAAAACTATTCTTTTAAATTATGTTACGTACACTGAAATTTGCTAATAACATTGTTCTCTTTCCGTGTTAACGGATGCGAACCATCGCAAAACACATTGTATTATGTATGAGGAGAGTTTATCGCGATCGGATGCGCACTCTTAATAGATAACACTTATCTCCTTTCTTCGTTGCTGAGAAAAACACTACTTATCGTCGTTTCCGGTCTAGGTCGGAGAAAACACTATTGTTTTATAATTAAAAATTTGATTTCTAAAAAAAAATGTATTATCTAAGCGTAACAAGTTGGCGTTAAGTATGCCGAATATGACATTAATTTAAGCGATTCAAACGATTGTATACATATTTTCACGTACGGGGAGCAACGGAAAGGATTAGAAACTGCTGTGGCCATAAGAAACCCCAATTTATTGAATACCCCTCGCGTCCAAATCGATCACAACAATGTGTCGCAAACAATGCCGAATGCGGTTTCATATTTTAAAAATTTACAGCAAAGCTGAACGGTGAAAAGCAAACACAAACCGCCCTAACTCGGACACACCAGACTTGTGCAGCCAGGAATTTCTATAATAACCGGCTTGCCGTTATCGACGAACACATGGTGCGATATTGCTATCGTATATATTAATGTTATCTAAACTGGAATGGACGGGTAGTACAAGCGGCAGACTGGATCGATAACGGCAATGAGCCAAGCTGACGAGGGCCGAGCACGTTTAGAAGACGGCATATTATTATTGTTATTACTCTCGAACAAAAAAGTCAAACGGGTCTGTCGCACACTCATCGCAGTCGGAAATGAAAAAAAGAAATAACGACAACAACACGTGTGCCCCCGGGACGAAAGTATAACAATGATGCAGCGATAAATTAGAAAAAAACTATTAGGGCCAAAGAGAATTGTGTGTGGGGGGGTGGGGGTGTTGAAAATTTACATAAAAATCGTCCACACTCCGCGCGTGCATTCGGCACGGATCGATGTGCTTCAACGTGTGGTGGCTGCCCAAGTTGTGTGTGTGTGTGTGTGTGTGTGTGTGCGCGCGCGAGTATATACATGTAAGCGACGAGGGGATGAATCACCACTACGGTGTTCCGCGGAGGACATGACCGCGATACAGACGAGAAGAAAAAAAAAGGAGGTCGTTGAACGCACGCGCCAATACCCAGCCCCGCTTTTAGCCAGGCGTCACTACGAAATTATACAACACACCACCGTAGGCTGCATAACAATATAATGATACGGGCGAGACGATGTTGCAGCCAAATCTCTAGTATCTTCTATGGTGTAGCCTCCGTCTATTTACAATGGGGAAAAGGGTCGGGACAACAATCTATAATTTATCAGCGCACCGTCGTCGACAATGCGCGTATTATTGAGTTTACTACTAAACGGAGCCCCGGCAACGTTACGCGGC